TGCCATAGAAAATATCTCCAATGATTCACAGACCTTTGGCATCTCATCTTTTAAAGCTAGCATCATCTGGTCCTGGAGGAAAACCTGATAGCCCATACACCCAGGAAGCCACTGTGAGTTCTGGCACTACACCAAGGTACCCAATTATTTTTCTCCATATTTGCAGAATGGTCCCTCGGATAGGATTTTGTCTGATCTCCTGAGGGAGACTAGTATCTGTCATAAATCAAGTTGGAAAGAATAAGAGTAACAAGCTGTTTCAATGTTTTGCCCTGGAGGGCTGTTTCGAGTTTCTGTAAAATCCAACCTGTTCCAAACATCTTAAATTACAGTTGTCCAGATTGCAATGACAGGGAGGGTGTTAGTATCCTTGTATGTTTTCTTTATTTTGAACCTCAGCAAATGGATTTGGGGGCACTTTTCAAGCTATAAAAATTGTAGCATATTCATTTTATCTACTCCTTTTTTTATACCAACCAGGTAGCAGTACTAGAAAGATTTGTGGGTACTATAGTACCCAGGTAACATACATTTTAATCCAGTTAACTCATCCAAACATAGATAATGATAAATTATGCCACCTTTGAAGGGCAAGTTTATAAAAGGGGTTGCAGGTTTGGCATTATTAGTTTAGTTAAACTGGGTGAAAGTTGTGCCCCCTTGACACCTGAATTCCTCAGGGGACCATCAGCATAAGAAAGTACTTAGCATCTCATTGAAAGGTCAATCGCATTCAGCTCTCAAAACATAGTCCTTGTACGCCTTTAAGAATTATTTAAGGTATAGAATGGAAGCTTGTGTTTCACTGAAATATAATAGGATGTCTATCAGCACAGCCAATAATTATGTCATCATGAATATTATGATGCGCTGAATCTCTTAAAGCTATTGCAAGTGGTTCAGTGGAGAGAACTGACAGGAGAGGTGAGAGAACATTCCTGCACTGTGCCACTTTTTCAGGAGAAAGTCTCTAATCGGGATCTGTTCAAATAAAGGAATGCATACAGAGACTTACAGATAACAAAGGCCAAAATTTCTCTAGTACTAAAAGAATGTAGGCCCAAAGAACCCTACAGAATACCTTCTCAGCATCTATGGAAGATTACATTTTGCTTAATGTTGTTTTACTTTGCAGGGTACCTTTCATAGGTAAGGCCTTCATTTTTGGTTTTTATTTAGTTTAAAATTAGCCATGTCTTGATTACAAAAAATAAAAAATGGATGAAAAACACTACAAAAAATCAACTCAGAGTTTCTGGGCAAATATCAGGGTCAATATTGGGGGATTGGAGAAAAGAAGAAAAGCAACAAACAGGGAAAAGAAAGATTACTTCTGACTCTGCTACCCATTCCAGAAGGAGAGATGGCAATTTGATAACCTGGGTTGCCCACGTCACCAAGTAGCTATCTCCCTTTCGGGGGGAAGGAGGGGAGGAAGGGAGGGAGGGAGAGCTGGGTATGGGGAAATCTCCCTGGGCTCCCGTAGGGTCTGCCCAAGTTACCAAGCTGCCATCTCTCCTTGCAGCACAGGGAAGCTGGGTCTGGGGAGTTGTTTTTGCCATATGCCTGCATGTGTGTATCTTCCACTACATTTCCTCACTTTTCAGACAGCCTCACATTTACAATTAAACTAATTTATTAGCATAAACACATCTACCTACTGTAATCTATTCTATTTTCTTGATATAAGCAGTAATTTCATGTACTTGAGTACATGTATTCAAAATTCAAGTGAAAACTGGTGAAAAGCAAATAACTTTTGCTAACGTCGGGAATTTTCGGTAAAAACAAAAACTTAAGAGCCTTGTCCATAGGTAAACTAGCTGGTAATCGGCTGACTAATTATATGAAACTTCTAAATTAAACCAGATTTTATATACATTAAAACTAAATATACAACTCTGCTGAGGGTAAACTGTCACGATTAAAGACAGAACAAAGGTCCAGTCATTAAAGAACACAGAACCATTATTAACCATACATTAATATTGTCATACTGCACAGTTAACACTAGATAGGCTGACTGGGCAATAATAGAATTATGTCCTATGATAACAGCCCTCTTTCTCTTTTCTCTTTTTATATTTTTATTGTAATTTGTAGGAGAGAGCTTTACAAGTACTATGAATTTTTTTTATTTTGTTTAATATTCAATACATATAATTAAACATGGCATAATTTGGAGTGTGTTGTTTGAACCTTCCAAATTGATTGGATTAGTTATAAATCAGTAAGGTAAGATGTGGGCTTGAATGACAGCAGAAATTCAAGTTTACTCCTATTCAGCAAGTTAGTCATAAGGATCAATAAGCCATAGGAAAGGAACAGGATGTTGAGACTGTTTAGAGGTCTATGAGAAAGATATAAATGGTACTCCTTAATGAATGCATAGTCTGTTGATTATATGGAAAGTGCAGACTGCACTCAGTCTGGATCATCAATAATTGTCAATACAATTTTTGCACGAGATGATTCCTAATAAAAACGTATCAGTGACTCTAAGTATGTACAATAAAACTAATAAATATGAATTATTTAAATACCTTTCATTTAAACAAACAATATTTCCAGTTTAATTACATAACGGCATTAATTTAATATAAAACATACCTTAAGATATGTTGAGTTAAGCTTTTCTGCTTGACTTTTCAAATTTCAGGCTTTTGAAGAGTTTCTAAACAAGGGATTATGTTTCTTTTAAGATAGTCAGTGTTCTTACTCATCAAGTAAGTGAGCTGGTTTTCTAGGAGATACATAAAAGTGCCTGTCATTTGGACTGATTCAGATGCCACAACTCTTTTTCCCACGGCTGTTAGCCGATTTTGAAATCTATCAATCTTTTCACTTAGTTGGTCTAAAAGAGTATTTTAGAGAAATTTCAGTTTCTGCAAATTTACTATCCAATACTCAGAGCAAGTGTAAATGAATTTCTCATATGACCTGGTTACCAAATCTCCACGTTCTGCAGACTGTGTGGCTCCACCATCTTGATCCATTCTTCCTAATCTGTTCCTAATCTTTTAGAACTGCAAATGTTGACATCAAATTGAGCAGGGCTGTCTTTTAGTGCTCAAAAAGGAGTTCACAAAAGTTTATAAAGCTATTCCTCTGATGTAACCACTTGGGAAGCCAAAATTAGCTCTTGAAATGAAGATCTTAAAATGCTTCAGCCAGGGGTCAAAGACAACACTGGTTAGCTTTCATGGCGTATCAGATCATCTCAGCCAGAGCTGGATGAAAACATGGGCACTACAGGCCTTTGCCTAGACCCAGGCTCTCGGAGTCATGTGATTACATCAAAATCTGAGTTCTCATTTTAAAAATATTTCCAGCTCTCGTGGTTTAAAAGAAAAGTTTGAAAACATAAACTAAAATATAACTGATACTGTGACATCTGCATGAGTCTGCAGAGAGCCTGAAACAATAGCTCCAAGAGGAGTAAACTGCCCTATTAATTTAAATGGGGGTGTTAACTCCAAGACCTACTGCTCAGGTTGGGATGGGGAGGCACTATCAGCAACATCCCAGAAGAACATTCTGGGAAGGACCTTCCTACCTACACAATCAGGTGCACCTCAACTGCTGGGGTAAGGACCAGAGTATCAATTCCCACTTTGTCTGCCTCTCTACTGGAGAAAAGAGGACCTTTGCTGCTCCCAAAAAGACATGGGCCTCTCCTTCCATTCGTGGGGGTTGGAGAAAGGCCCTGACACCTCCGTTTTTCTGAGAGAGAAGTGGGCCCCTCTGCTCTTGCCATACCAACCACAGGTGGGGCCCGGACCAGATAGGGTATGTCTACAAAGCAAAGAAAAAACCATGGCTGGCCCATGCCAGCTTACTCAAGCTCGGGCTGCGGGGCTGTTTCATTTCTGTGTAGTCCGGGTTCGGGCTAGGGCTCAGACTCTATGACTCTGTGCAGTGGGAGAGTCCCAGAGCTCAGGTTCCAGCCCATGCCCAGAAGTCTATACAGCAATGAAACAGCCCCACAGCCCAAGCCCCATGAGCCCAAGTTGCCGGGAATGGGCCAGCCGTGGGGTTTTGTTTTTGTTGTTGTGTAGCCATATCCATAGAGCCCTGGGTTTTAGTGTGCTTGCATTCCTGGACTGCTTTAATACGACACTTATCCTAGCCCAAATTTTTTACTGTGCCGAAGGCCCTGTGACTGGAGACAGATGCCTTCAGTGAGATAATCATACTTTTCTCAGAGTGAAGAAGGTTCATGACCATAAGGTGGGGCTTCTCAAACTTTTGAGAGCATGGATTTCATTTGAATAGAGCGACTGTCTCATGGACACCTCCCCTCTCATCTGCAATTCCATGGACAGTACACCCTCCCATTCACAAATGCTTAACATCTCTGAGGCAACTACACCTACACAAGATATTGCTCACCTGGAAGAATAATACTAGGAAATATTAGGAAACACAGCAATATTAGGAAATATAATGTATTTTCACTGACTTTTTTAATGTTTAGCCGTTGGAAATCGGGAGGAGGAGATATAGCAACATGTGACCACCAAGCTATCCATGGACCACAGTTTGGAGAATTCTGCCTCTGGGCAATCTGACTTTCTGGATTCAGGTTTTTTAACACTTTACAAATCATATTTTAGTCACTCTCTTGTAAAAGTCTTTTAATCATAACAAATGGGAAATTACAAAGCAAAGGTTATGGAAATGTTCAAGAGCCAATGTTTTCCCACTGTGCTTATCTGTCTTATGCCTCCTATTTCGCTCTTTTGTCCAGTGTTTCAATGGACTGTCTGGACTTCTTTAACAGAAAGCTACTGTAGTGGATTTCTATGATCTATTGCTTAAATGAACCCAGCATATTAGGTTAACTCCATTTCAGGGAGGAAATGGTTAAACAACTCACTGTTCCCTTGTGCCCGGGAAGCAGCCTTTGTGTTTAACATTGGCAGGGTCTCAGTCTGGGCTGAAGGTTTGGAGGGGGGGGTTAAATGGGGGAGGGGACAGAAAGAGGGGAGTTCTGACATCTCTGTCTCTCTCTCTCTCTCTTGCTGATACAGTGGAGGTGGAGATTTCCAATCCCACCCAGTCACACTGAGAAAGGATTTGGTAAGGTTTCCCCAGAAGAAGCCACACTGAGGAAATTCTCAGCAGCAGCCTGAACTACACTTGGAGTGAGTTTGCAGTCTTCTATGCACGGAATTGGGGGCAGAAGCAGCTGTATGGTTCCTGGATGAGAGCCAAGGGAGCTTCATGGTATGGTTTTAGCACTTATCCTTAACAATTCAGAAAGGAATTGGGTGATGATGATAAAAGTGTGTGTTAGTTATCAGGAATCTTATTTTACCTTTGCAATAAATATTTTTTTAAAAAGTTTAAAATGTATAGAGCATAACAGATACCCAGTACTGAAGGGGAGTTGTGGATGGTAATGCTTTGCCACTTGCATTTTGGAACTGATCTTTTGACAGTGCTAGAAGGGAGGGTGTTTTCTTTTGTGTGGGAAGAAGGGAAAAGGGCAGATATCCCACAACCAATTACACTTTGTTTAGTGAGATCTAACTAGGAGAAAATTATTTTTTTCAGTACTTTTTATTGTAATTGCTTTGAAACTTCTGTCCTAGTTAAGTTTATTAGATCCCATTTTAAACCTCATGTGTCTTTTGGCCTTTTTAATTTAATGAATTAAATGTTTACAAATCTCAATAGTGTTTAATCAATTAAACAATTCATTTCAAACTGCCCGGTTTGGTTTTGAAAATCTTGACATGGGGACTGTCCTGGCTTTACTCTCCCTAGCAGGATATTTGTTGTTGGGAAGTTAGGAGTTTTATTCTCAACGTCCCGTGCTGGTTGTAAGAAATTTTGTGTACCATTGTGTTAGTAAAAAGAAAAGGAGTACTAGTGGCACTTTAGAGACTAACCAATTTATTTGAGCATGAGCTTTCGTGCATCCGATGAAGTGAGCTGTAGTACTAAGTGTACTAAGGTGCCACACGTACTCCTTTTCTTTTTGCGAATACAGACTAACACGGCTGCAACTCTGAAACCTGTCATTGTGTTAGTGACACACTGACACCACATGCATATGGCCTGTAAATGCACAGAAATTCCTTAGCTATTCTCGATACTGAGATTATGTAAATACAATGGGCTATTATATTGTATTCTCACAGACAGTTAACACAAGTATTATTATATTGCATGCAGTGGGGTGCTTGTGCACTGCTATTACACACCATACAGGCACTCTGAAAATACGCACATAGTAGTGGAGGATTTGTCAGTGACTCCATATCTTGGAATATGTATATCATGAATCCATGTTCTTGGAATTAGTATATGGGAATTCTTTTCATTTTGATTTTGCTACCTCTTCAGGAAAGGTTTCTTCTTGGGGTCTTGGGTATTCTGTACATCATTCATCCTGTTGTTTGTATGACTACCATGTTGACATCACATTTATGTGGGATATAAGTAATATATCAAATTTGCACATAAAAAGTTCATAAACTGAGAAAGAGAAGGTTAGTGGCATGGTTTAAGCAAAGGACTAGGTATTAGAAAATCTGGATTCTATACCTGGCTGTATCACTGATTTACATTCTGAACAGGACAAGACGCTGCAATTCTCAGTGACTTAGTTTTCCCCATTTGTAAAATTGTTGTTGTAAAATTATTATGAAGTGCTTTAGAATCCTAAACTGAAAGCACTAAACCAGTGCAAAGTATTGCTAGTGGTCCTGAGACACTAGTCGAACAAGCATTTTTAAAATAAATATCTTAGACAGATACCAGTTAATTGGGTTTGTGATCATATACATAGACTAATATAGTGGGCCGGATTATGGTTTTAGCTACACCAATGAAGCAGGTCAGAATTTGTACCACTGAGGACAAACACAGGCATACTCTATGCAAAATACACGCATACATATATTAGGGATGTGTATGCTCCTGTTACACACTCAAGACTCTTTACATACCACCTACTGGAATGGAAGAGCATAGTAGGCAGTAGTACTAAATATTTGTATTATGATAGTGCCCAAATGCCTGGTGTCAGTGAACTCTCGTTGCTTTCTACTGTAAATTCTTCACTGTTATTCTGTTTAATAATCCTTTAGGGAAAAATAGGAGGGGAATCTCCACATATTCTGGAATTAATTAACTTAAAAGTACCTCTGCAACTCCTTCATTCAAGTTCTCCTAGTAATATTACGCAGCACTGGACTTTCAAATCTCCAGTTTGGCTCAACACTGCCCTTGACTTTATCCTAGTTCACACAGAGATGTCTTGTGATAGTTTGTCACACTGAGCTGAAGGGAAGGGAAAAAATCTTTGGGGCTTGAGAGTGAGCACTAAACTTCACAAAAGAGAATCCCAGAGTGGTTTCTATGACCTGAAGCATGATGCAGCATTACTAATATTGATGATAACCATCCTCCACTGCAGTAGATAGGCCACAGACTTTTCTGTTACTCAGGGTCACACTTGTGGTGGAAGAATGTCCTACTACTGATGTGCCCTTTAAAAGCAGCAGATTTCATGGGTTATTCCTTGGGATGTCATGCCAAGTATTTAGTATGCAATATCTATCATGTTTGCTTTTTTATACAATTATAATTAACTTATCTACCATTAACATCTGAACATGAGTTGCACTGGAATTCTGAAATATCCAGGATAAATTTCTACTAGCCTACTAGTATATGTAGCAGATTTAAAAGCATTAAGGGCCTGATCCAAAGCCTACTGAAGTCAATATGAGTCTCTCCATTTACTTCTGAGGGCTTTGGATCTGGCACTAAATGAACTACTTATTCATGAACTGGACTTGAAAATTATATATTCAGGGCTTTTAAATTTTAAAAGCCAGCTAATTATTATGGCAAAGAAAAATAGGTCTATAGCATGATTTTTGCAGTACACCAACAAATATTAAAACAAATAATAATAACAATACATTCTGGCCTTAAATAGAATTTATGAATTTAGGGTTGTGGCTTTGTTATTTAGCAGAACTCCAGCTATGGAAAAATTTAAATTTTCTTTTGATTAAAGTATCAGTAATGCTGCCAAGACACCCCATGCTGATTTACTCGACTGGGAAGCTTAAGTCTTGTGACAAAACTCTTATCCATCACTTGTTGTCTGGAATGCTTTATCCCTTATATAGACAAATACTCCTACACACTTTTGTGATATGGCAGGATTTCTTTAGCACTACCCCTCAGATGCCATGGGGATTTTCTGTCTCATTTTGTAATCTATTATTCAAGATAGCTTAACTAGTATAAAAAACAAGCTGAACAAGCACTTCTTTTGAAATGAGAAATAAGATAATTGTTAATCTGTGTTTTGTTTATGTTTTGTTTCTCCATATAGGTGAAGAAGTGAGAAGGATCACACTGAAATATTGAAAGAACTATTTCATTGAATGTACCTGCTATTCAAGATTTTAGGATGGAAACCTTTTGTTTAAGAGTCTCCTTGCTACTGCTTGTCACTGGATGTGTCCTCAGCGACAGTTCTGACAGATATTACACCAATCTGAGTGATTCTGGAAACTATTTGACCACGTACTCTGGAATAGAGCCCAGCTTACTCCTTACTACTAGCCGACCCATGGTACCCAACAAAACAAACTATTGCTCCCAACGGACTAAAATTGTTGACACTTTCAAATACGTTAACACAGTGATAGCTTGTATTATTTTCATCGTTGGATTGGTTGGGAATGCAACTTTGCTGAGGATCATTTACCAGAACAAGTGTATGAGGAATGGCCCCAATGCGCTGATAGCTAGCCTGGCACTAGGAGATCTTATCTATATTGTCATTGATATTCCTATCAATGTATATAAGGTAGGAAGCAGCAACGGGTACACTTTAACTGCTGTTCTTTAACAGGGTGACAACGTATCAGTGTGTTTGTTTCTAATTACTGCTTTTCTATTTATTAATTATAAAGGAAAGCGAAATTTAACTCAGTCTATGTTCAAAAGCAAATGTCAAGACATCATTTTTAGGTTTTGGATGGTGTCCTTCAGACAACTAGCTGAGGACAGAATTAAACAAATGAAGAGAGCAGCTTTTGAAAAGACGGCTGTTCTCTTTATGGATCAGATTGATAGCTACCATTTGGGGAACATATCCTAGTCTTCCTTTGTTTATACAGAAAATATTTCCTATGATTTACACAGTCTTTATGTGATGATTTATTAGCCCTTCCAGAATGTCAATAGAGTTGAGTGGTAGGGCTTGAATTTAACATTCAGTCATGGCAGAGGCTCAAATCAGTTTATGATTGTTAAGGCCACTTATACATCAGAATAGTGTTTAAGTACTGTTTGGCAGCTGGATTTGTCAAAATACATGAAGGATTATAAACAATTCTTTTAAATGTAACTAAATTACGCAGTGCAGCCTTGATTTAATATATAATAAGCAAACCCATAAAAGGCTACTTTTTATATTGAATTGTACATTTACTGGCCCAAATTTGACCATAAACTTGCATGATTATATCATATGATTATACTGGGCCCAAAGAGATCTAGACTTCACTGATATATGCTGTGGGTTGGAAGGACAGAACTACAATTAGAAATAGATTTTAAAAGACACATTTTTTTTAATTAAGCAAAAGACTCCTGTGGGACCTAATATAGCTGCTGTTGATGTGAACAAGAACAGGATTGTACCTTGGTTATTTTCATGGGGATCAAAATATTTGGCTGATCTTGAAACTTGCCTGAATGTGTTTTAGAAACCCTTGAAATATGTTTGTAAAGTTTTTCTCACTTTAGCCTTGTGAGTCTGGAAAGCAAACACACTGCTGAGATTATTATGACTATTCTTTCCCTAGGACCTCAAACAAGGCATAATATTATAAAATACTGGCTTTCAACCTTTTTTTCATTTGCGGACCCCTAAAAACTTTTGAATGGAGGTGTGGGCCCCTTTGGAAATCTCAGACATAGCCTGCAGACCCACAGGGGTCTGCCAACCACAGGTTGAAAACCACTGTTCTATGATAACAACAACCTTTCACGGACCTCTTAGACATAGTCTGTGAACCCCCAACTGTCCATAAACCATAGGTTGAAAACCACTGTTATAAAATAAACAATTTAACCTCCAAAGATTTTTGGCAAATTTCTGATTTTTTCACACTCACATATATATCTTTTTTCATTAATAAAATATATAGTAAATGTTTGCCTATTAGGGCTTAAAAATGGGTTTTAAAATAAAAAGAAAATAGCTCAGATTTTGAAAATCTCTCTCTCTAGAAATGTATACTATAAATTATAATTAGGGGCAGAACTATAATACAGTTGTACATACCACAAGGCTATAAGAAATTCTACTTTGTTTTTTTATAAAACTAATCAAATATATGTGTATATGTATGAAATAAGACACAGGGCCTGTTTCTGATCTCACTTACACTGGTATAGATTAGAGGTTAATAAGTTAATAGCATTATCCTGGTTTTAAACCAGTGAGATCAGAATCAAGCCAAAGTTGTGGTCATAAAAATACATGTGTTGTATTAGAAGCTGGTAGCAACTACAGTGGATGAAAATTTTCCATTAAAATTGTTTTTCAATGGAAAGTGCAAATTCTGAAAAGTCGAAATCTTCTGTGGCAAAATTTTAACTTTTCCAAAAATGTTCAATTTTCCATTGGGAAAATCAAAATGAAATATTTTGTTTCAGGCTAAGCTGACCCAAATCAAAATATTTTAGCTTATCGAATAGACTCTAAAGGTTTAGATTTGGGTCAGTTTGACATTAATATACATCTGCCTGAGCTGCTTTATGGGGAGATGTAATTCAGGTGCCTCATGCTCCCATTCTTCTCCATGGGCTGGACTACATCCTATATGATCTCTAGTCTTTCTCTGGTTGAACTGCCGTGGTGCATCTTGGAATATTTTCTATGTTCTGCTTTTGCCTGAGATGGAATTTCACTGGAAAGTTTCAGCAGAAGTGGTACAGGTGTTTTGAGAATGAGTTTAGAGGTAATTTTGATAATATTAAAAATTTTCCTCAAGCTATTTTTTAAAGAGCTCTAGCACCTCCTTGCCTTCGAGCATGAACTTGAAATTTGGGAGGAGGATAGTCCTGGGTGAGAGGACATTTTGCCGGTTTTATGAAAATCGATTGAAATGTAGTCAAGCTGCAAGCTAGAGAAAGTTGTCATTTTTAGATGCATCGTAGAACCTGTTAGAGATTTGTTCATTAACTTTCTAAATATTCCATTACTGTGTGCAGTGTAGGTGTAGCCATGTCAGTTCCAGGATATTAGAGGGACAAGGGGGGTGAGGTAATATCTTTTATTGGACCAACTTTCTGTTGGTGAGAGAGACTAGCTTTCGAGCCACACAGAGCTCCTCTTCAGACCTGAGATGAGCTCTCCCTGACTCGAAAGCCTGTCTCTCTCACCAACAGAAGCTGGTCCAATAAAAGATATTACCCGCCCTATATCTCTGAATATTCCACTGGCACTATGCATGCTTGCTGGCCCTGCTGTATCTCATGCATCATTCTAAAGCAGCCACACAGAATACAAACAAAATGGCCCTCACTCACCCTATCAAAATACCCTTTTGGCACTGTGGAAAAAATAGTATTTTATCATGTAATTAAAGACTGTAGTTGAAATCCTGGCCCCACTGAAGTCAGTGGGAGTTTTGCTATTTACTTTTCTGGAGCTAGGATTTCAACCGGTGTTCAATTCATACACACAGGGAGCAGAATTAAAGTTGCATTAAAGTAAATTCTCCTACTTCTTAATTTTTGAGTGCTTGACTTTGCAACCTGAATAAGTTTTTGAAATATAATATATTATATATTTCTATCCCTGAAGTGTACTGTCAGTTGGCTGAGAAGCTTTTATTAGAACTGAGCACTTTGGCAATTCCCCTAACAAATGTTAATGTTATTATAGTACATTTTTAATATAAACCATTCCATGACTTAAAAAACACATGGTGATATTACTAGTCAAAGGAAGAGTTGTTTTTAAATAGTAACTACTTCTAAAAAAATGTTCTACTTTATAATTTAGTTTAAAATACGCTCTGTCTTTAGGACATACAGGAATCCTAAAATCCACAGCAGCATTTAACTGCATTCTGACAGCTGCAACTCATGGCATCTTCTTTGGGACCTGCTGAAAATATTATTGGAACTTGGAAATGGATGTGACTGGTTTTTAATGAAAAATCAGAATTCAGAGAAACAAAGTTTGCTTTCTTCCTCGTGGGTCAAACACTAGTTTAAAGGTTTTCTGCACTCAGTTTTGATCTAAATTTTAAGCATCTATATTTCAGAAGTCAGCTTCATGCTGAGCCATATAAACTTCAGCAAAGCCAGACCAGTTTGAGTTGGAGGCACCAGAATGGTTTTCTCCTGTAGATAGTATTAATTGTTTCCATTACAAATTAATATAACACAATTGTTTATGTATAAATGATTTCAAATGTTTTGTAAGTTACAGATCCCGCACTGTTTAGTCAGACAAACTTTCCTGGATATCAGAGTGCAAACATTTATCTAGATAATAAGACTTCCACAGTTAGGTAACAGGATAAAAATATATAAGAGACAGAAATTTTCATGATTCAAGACATAAACCATACACTAACTGACTGGGCCTAAGAATAAGCTTCCTCTGTGGGCAGGTTATTTCATTATTGTTTGCTGTATCAAAATCTGTTTCTTTTGTGTTTCTTTGCATTTATAAGGTATATGAAATCATGAAAATATAAATTAACCTAAATGTATTATAGTCATAAAATGTAAATTTCAAATACAGCAAATTTACTAATTGCCAGTCACACACAATCATAAAAAGTGAAGAATATATTCAGAACTTGGGTATATTTTTCCATAAACCTAATCAAAATGCCAGAAAGTGGTTTCCAGGAAATAAATTATGGGATTTACTCTCACAATCTGAACCTTTATCTCTTCTTGAAGAGTCTACCACTATATTATCAATTGAGATCCTTCCTGTAATTCGCAGTTTGAACTAATTAAATGTGAAGCAATACTGCAAACAGACATAGTGGAGTCATATATCAGCTAAGGATCTGGTCCTTTATATTTAAGTTATTTTCTAAACCTGCCTTGTCAGGAAGATGGACTCAAATATCTTCTAGGACTTTTTTGTCTCCAACTACTATTACCCTATAACCTCTTTTCCTCATGACTGCTACTCCCTAAGGATTTACAAAAATGTTCTAGACATTAGCAATATTCACTAATTTGCCTGAGCCATAACAGACTGAAACACTGGTCTTAAGACAACTTTTAGTTTTGTTTTTAATCAAATTTCTATTGTGTTTACACTGCTTGGGCCCAAATCTCCCTGCAAAGGGATCCCTTCCTGATGCCTACAAGTCCATGAGAGTTACTTGAATCCAGCAAGGGAATAAAAAAAACCTATCACTATTTTTTGTAAAAAATTGCTGGAGCAGTGAACATAACATGTAAAATATGGCAAAGTGTTCAGGATTGAGTAATATCTGATGGGGGTTGAAATAGGATTTCATAAATATTTATGATTAAAACATAAATTAAATAGTCTAATGCAACCCAGCTTCCCTGGAAAGCATTAAGTTACAATTTTAACATGAGCTCACCTTCCACCCTGTGTGTGTTTTTAATGTATACTTAAAACAAAGATCTAATTATTCAAATCTAACCTAGGAAATAAGGTTGATGTATGACTCCTTGCCTTACATTTAATAGTTTTAACTCTCTGGACCATTAGGTTACATACAAATAACTGAGGCCAAACTGGCCCCTTCTGTACCTTTCTTCTTTAAATCTGATTAACAGGGTATTTTT